GTCTGTCAGCCGGGCACGTACGTCTGTGGGCACCTAGGTCTGTCAGCCGGGCACGTCCGTCTGTGGGCACCTACGTCTGTCAGCCGGGCCCGTACGTCTGGGGCACCTAGGTCTGTCAGATAGAAACACGACCTCGTCCCCTGACGGCCTGCACATGCTCCTGCCTTCAGCCCTGGGATGGAGCAGCACTCTCCACACTGTGACAGTGTGTGACAGAAGGAGCCTGAGAGGCTGGTGGCCCAAAGGATGGTGTGCAAAGGAAAGGTCTAGAAGTGCTGGCCCCGATTCCCAGACCCCGGGAGGTCACTGGGGCCTGGAGATGGTGAGACCCTCCCAGAGGCAGGAGCTGACYGTGCCCCGGTCTGCCCAGCAGCCAGGCCCCCGGGTCAGTCCAGGGGACATCTCTGAGTGCCCAGGACCACGCTGTGGCACACCCTCACAAGCCGTGCAGACTTACGGGCTGCACACCTGGAGGCACATTTCCCCCAAAATGACAGCTAGTGACGAGAACGGAGTGAAACCTGCACAGGGGACTGGAGGTAAAGACCCCCCACGGACCACAGAGATACGGAAGAGTGTGCCACCGCCAAGACCCACATCGGCGTGCCCGGGCGGTCGTGCCGATCAGGTGGGCAGACCCCGAGTCGGACGGGACRCTATCTGCCGGGCACTGCGCGGCGGGCCCAGGTCTTACTCATGTTCTCTTCATCTTCTAGATCCATGGCAAAGTGCTTTTGAGAGTTCTTGACTGGCGGAGACTGTTTCTGTCTGAAAGACAGCAAGGAAACAAGGCTTAGTGCRATGGTCTCGGAGCGGAGGCAGGGGTCCTGGCTCTGCCCTGGCACAGGCCTGGCCGGGGCTCCACGTCTCCTCGCAGCACCAGAGCACCCAGGACCCCAGCTGGGACCCGAGAGGAGGACAGCAGAGGGCAGAACAGGGGTCACAGCAGGGGCCAGGACCTCACACTCCACTTGGGCAGTGCAGGGCGTGAAAAACTGGGGACCAAGGGGTAACCCACCCTGGGGCGAAGCCCAGTGACCACAACTGCTGACCACACAACTCAATGAGTTCCCCCACCAGTGACTGTCCAGTTTTCACCCTGGGTCGATGTGAGGCTTGGAATGAAGCAAAGGCACATTTTGAGATCCACCGGCCAAGCTTCACCCAGTACTGCACTATGAAGCAGCTGGACAGACCAGCAAGTATCCAGGTAACCCACCAGCCTCAGGTGACCACGGCTGGATTCCCAGGAGAGACCCAGGACTTGCTGAGGAACAGGTGCTGTGGCTGCCCGGTCCCTAGCCACTCTGCACAGTCTCCGCCCAGCCTCTCTGACAGCCTTCATGACTGTGCTGACAGTTGGTGACAAAGAACCTCAGCACACTGCACCCAGGACAGGACCTGAGGTTCTGCAGCGATGCTGCTTTTGTGCAAACAAAACGCACATTATAAATATAAGAAGGCACATCCACTGCTTCAGAGCACGGTGGCTTGTGGCCAGGCGTGGGGGTATCATGTGTCCTGTATGGAGGATGCGGGTCCTCGGGCGACGGTCACCTGTGCATGTCCTGAGTCTCACTCAGGCGCTGTGAGGACGCCTGGGCTGCAAGGCTCTCTGCAGGGTCTGGAGGCACRGTCTTGTGTCATCGCCACCTCAAGAGGTCACCAGAGAACTAAGCCAGGCAGACGCACCCACGGGGGACTCGGCAGCACACGGCTGCATCTCGTCTTGATGTTTCCGTGATGGGAAGTCAACACGCGTGCCTCGGCGTCGTCTCAGACGGGAGGTCAGAAGTGTGGCTGGCAGGACTGGTGCCCTCAGCAATCGGGGAACTGGGGCCTCCTGGCTAGGAGGGCAGCTGGGAGAGACGGGATGTGACCCAGGGCCCAGCCAAGCTGGGCGAGCGGTCGGCGCAGGCCAGTGGACAGAGCTGTGGCCTGGCGCAGCTGCAGGTCAAGGGGAGCAGCAGGCACCCTGCTTGACCTCAGGGCAGCAAAGGAGCCAGTCCATAGCCCCTCCTGCCTGCTGAAATGCTGTGCCAAGGCCGGGGGCTGCCCCACAGGAAGAGGGAGCAGACGTGCCCCTCCCTCCACCATGCCCACCAAGAGCCCTGCCCTGGGTTTAAAACAGACACAAGGTCATCGAAAGGCAAGASAGGGCACATGGAGAGCAGCCCGAGTCCCCCGACGAGGAGCTGGAGCACTGGAAACCTGGAACACCAAGAGCACAAACTCACACCAGGTCCCTGGCCAGAGGACAAGGAAAGGGCAGGCCCCAAGAGGACAGCCCAGACGGGACCCTCGGCTCCAGCCCCCCAAGCCCGGCCCCAGGCGGATAGAGGACCCAGGGCCTGCTGGGGGTTGGACTGGCAGTGGGGCTGCTTCTGTCCTGCAGGCGGCAACAGGCTGTGCCCTCCCGCTCCCAACCCCACCTGGAGGGGACAGGCCACCTGTGCTGCCACTGGAACTCTGAGAGGGGCAGCAGGAGGTCCTCAGCAGGAGGAGTCACAGGGCCAGCGGGGCTCAGCACCACAGGAGGCAGCGCCCCTCCCCTCACAGGCAAAGCCGGGAGAGTGACCGAGCGTGGCAGGGGTGGGGGGGTTCTGTAGTGACACCAGCTGCACTGGGTCAGGCGGGTCTCAGGCGGGACTCGGCAGGCGCCTAGACCTCGCGGCAGGCACCCTCACTATCACAAAGCAACACTCACTCAGAAACAGAGGCTCACTGGTCGGTGGGTCGGTCAACATGGGCAGTGGGAAGGCCCCGCCCTCAGGCAGGAAGAAAGACCCTGGGGGTGAGGACGGGCAGGTCCCGGCAGGAAGGGTGCCCAGTGCAGGTCTCCTGGCCCTGACACACACCTTGTCTCCTACTCTCACACCTAAGTCCTAAAAAGGACCAGGGACCGTGTCACAGTGGAAGGTGGCCACACAGCAGGCCTGCAGGCGGAGAGGCTGGGACCTCCGCTCCCGCACCCGCAGATGCAGCACTGGCAGAAGGTCGGGGCCCAGAGCAGAGCCCGCCTGGCTCAGCGCACGCTGCCTCCTGAACAAAGCCTCACCGAGAGCCCAGAGGCAGGAGGAAAGAACGGCTCCACTTCCAGCCGCACTCAGGATGGGATGCACCTGGGGCAGGGGAGGTCCGCCCACAGCGGGAAGCCAAGGGCCCAGTGGCACTGGACCTCCTTAATGGGGCAGCGAGCAAAAAAGAAAAGTCCAAATAACCAGAACAGTCTGAACCCAAGGAAGGAACCCAGGTGGGGCCCCCAAAGGCCACGTGTGCTGTGCAAGTCCCAGGCCAAGGCGCAACGCAGAGGCACCTGGTGCTGGACTGGGCGCCTTCAGTAGACGCCTCGGGAAGACGGAGCCCCAGGCCTGGTGGAGAGCTCCCCTCCCACCCCGGCGCGGCAGGCAGCGCTCTGTCTCCAGGCCAGCGGGGACCATGCTCCACTGTCCTTTGCAGAACAACAGCTGTGCACAGTCACCTCCTGCTCCAACTCTCACCTGCAGAGGGGAGCCGGGGTGTCCCTGGGCAGAGAAAAGACGCCGCGGGTGCTCACTGGGGCTCAGGGTGCCTCGGGCCTGGAACACCCTCCACCACGCTGGGAGAAAGGCCACCTTGGAGCCACCAAAACTTATAGGTTTTTAAAGAACTTGAGGCGAGTGGTACCCCTGATGAAATGACCACGATCCCCATACCTCTTCCCTCGTGGAAGGCGGTGGTAAGTCAGTTTCACATTTTCTGTCCGGCCCTCAGGGGTCTCGTTTAAATAGCTGTAAAATGCAAACTCGCAGAGAGGACTGCACCTGGGCTCCTCTGTGTGACTCTCACTCCAAACCCACAGGTGGAGGGCCTGTTCAGTGGAGAAAAGAAAACCAGGAAGAGCGCTGGCTGCTCCACAGCGGCTGCGAGCACAGAGTCCCCATGGGGCGTCCGGGAAGGCAAAGCCTGCCACCAGCACTGGCCACGCCTGCCCAGGGAACCACGTCGTCCTGGTTCCTGTTCTGCTCTCAGTGCTGTCCGCGTGGAGACCCCGTGGAGGGTCTCCAAACGCTCGACTGGAGCACTCCACAGATGCCCAGGCCCACGGCCCAGTTGGCCCTGGAGATCGCAGGCAGGGTGCACACAGCCTCTCGTGGACGTGACTCCCAGTCGGAGCAGGATGGGACGCGAGGAGAGCGCAAGCCGGCACGCTTCGAGGTACCGACCTGGGGAGCCAGGGCGGAGCAGGAAGGTGCACCGAGGGCGGAGCACAGAGAAGTCAGGGCTCAGGTGACGGGGGACACCAGCAGCTGCTAAGGACATGGACCAACAAGGAAGGCGGCGACAGGAAACTCAGAAGAGACTGGCACCGTCCGAGCACAGTGTGCTCCCTACCTCGGGCCCTGGGTTCCGTGGCAGACCAGCCACCCATGGCCAAGGCATGGGGGAGTTCAAGGAGCTGGGGGGTGTGCAGGAGGCCTGGGTTCTTGGGGACCCTACTGGGGCCCACTAGGACAGCAACAGTGCTGACACAGACACATGTGACCCCATGTCCCTGCCGCCCCTGCTCTCTGCACAGTGGGAGTCCAGCCAGATGCCCAGAGCCCACCTGCTCCTCCTCCTCCCTCAAACCACACACCAGCCCCTCTCCCCATCAGGCGTGATGGCCCTCCCCCAGCAGCCAGGATGGTCTGCATGGACCAGAGGTGACCTGCAACACACACCCACATGCTCACATGCCAGGCTGGGTGAGTATGCCCTGGTCCTGGAGTGTAGRCACCCCGCAGGAGCTGACCACAGCTGTCCTGAGACACGGTCACCATGAAGCACGAGAGCTCTGGCCTGTCCACCTGCACAGTCCTCAGCATCCTAGAGACAGACAAAACCACTGGAGCCACACAGGAGCTCCGAGGACAGCACTGGGAAGTGCAGTCACCTTTCACATTGCCCACACTGTCCAGGCCCTCTGCAGTTTGAGCAAAAAGCACCTTCGTCCTGACCACACCAAAGCCCTCTCCCGCTGGCCCCACCTGTGAGTCCACCACCTAACCACGCTGGTCAGAAAGCCCCCAGTAAATGGCACCCTGCGTGGCCCTGGATCTGCCTGCCTGGCCCCTCTGCCTACAGCAGCTGGTTCTTCGACACCAGGTTTTCCTGACACACGGCTTCCTTAGAAGACCCCGGTTCTCAAGTCAGAGACCTGCAGCGCTCACAGCCACCTGCCAGAGACACTGTCAGCCTCCCCACTCCTCCCGTGCATGGCCTGCCTTCCTGTGGGCTGTGAGGCCCGTGCGGAGGGCCACTTGGCCTGCTCCGTCTGCCCAGCACACCTGTGGCTGCCTGTTCCCAAGAGGCACAGCTCAGCAGCACCTGCCAAACAGGCACATGACACCCCGGTACTGTGTCAAACACACAGGGCACATTCCCGGCCTACATGGCAGCTCCTCCTCCCACATGGCTGCCACGGAGGGAAGGGCACAGTGCCTGGGGCCACCAGTCCCCAGAATGCATGGGTCTCAGCTGGGCCACAGCAAGCAGGTGCTCTGCTGGCTCTTGAGGTCTTCAACATGGGGCYGCAGGTCAGTCTCCATCAGGGGAGATCGCAGACGTCCACTAATCCCATTTCTCACTTCTACGGGAAGGTACCAACTGGAAGCAACTTGTCCAAGATGGCCAGCTGCTGTGATGGGCCAAGATGTTCCTGGAGTGCAGCCCACTGTGCCACCAGAGTGGCCGAGYACCACCTGGGTTCACTGAGACGGAGAGTGCCCACAGACGACCCCAACAATAGTGCCACTCACACACCATCTAACACACAGCCTCTCAGGAGGTCCTTCCACAGTGAGGTAGCACAAGGCTCGTAGTTATGGGTGGACCCCCGGGTGCCGCCAGCCTGCAGGCCTGGAGCCAGGTTGCCCCGGGTGAGACCCCTGTCCTTCTGCAGACCTGTCCCTATTTCATGGGACCTGCCAGCCACCAGCCTGAGAGCCCAAGAGGGCAGCTCAGAGCCTCCGTGTCACCCAACAGGGAAACCCCCAGGGGTACTGGTGGGTGCGCACGGGGTGCATCTGCTTGCTCTGGAGCAGGTCTAGGTGACAGACACACCTCAGCTCTCCTGGAGCCACAGCGGCCAGGCCTCTGGGGTCACGAGGACATGCAAAGCGTCTGCCTGGCACCGTGTTGGCGCTGTCTGTGTGGAAGGCTGTCCCTGTCCTCCTCCTCCTGCTCTTCTCCTCTGTGAGAGACACAAAGCAGAGCTGGGTCACTCTCTGTGCATGCTGGCGACAGGCTGTGATCCCAGGATGACGGCTGTGGGGCAAGGGGGTGCTGCGGGGGCTGGGCCGAGCCTGGCCCAGTGTCCAGCTCTGAGCGTGGCCAGGCCCTTGGACTCTCTGACTTGGCTGACCAGTAACCATCTTCCCGTAGGTGGGGGCTACAGACTGGAGAGAAGATCCCCGTGATCCCTGCAGCTCCCCAGGTGTCAGCCCCCACCACTTCCAGCCCGGAGCCCGGCCAGCACCCGGCCCCAGTCACACTTCTCAACGTCGCTGGCCAGGGCGGCTGCTCATGGTGAGTCAGATCCTTGGCCCAGCTGGACACAGCAAAAACTGAAGCTGGAGAAACCCTGGATGGCTGACCATAGCAAGCAGATGCAGCCAGCTTCCCCTGTCGAGAGTCTGGCCATCCTTGCTCACAGGAAGTCAGTGGTTCTCACTGAGACGTGTCCCCAAAGCCGTGCCTCCAGTGCTGCCCGCTACCCTTCAGTGCACATCCACCTTKGCCTTCACTTAACAACACAGTGACCAGTTGCGACAACAGACCCGAGTTCAGCTTGTGGAAATGAACACAAAAGGAGAAAAGGCCAGTTCAGCTGTTCCCTTCAGGCAGGGCACGAGCCACGGCCCACGGCAACTCGAATCCATCTGCTCCAAGATGAAACCAAGACGTCAGGAGTCTGCATGCCCAAGAGGCTCTCAGTATGAGATTGCAGACACAAAACCAGGAATGTTCTGCTTATAGTCAATCAATTAACGTCCACTTAGATGACCAGACAGAGGAGGCCACGGGGGATGCTCGAATGACACATTTGTGACAGGAACGCAGCGCAGGGCACCCAGGTGGGAATGAGGCCTGGAGCCCCACAGCTGAGTCCCAGTGGCTCAGGAGGCTGGGTCAGAAGGGTAAGCTCCAGGCCAGCTGTTGAGGGCCACAGCCGAGTCCGGATGACGCATGGCATTTTTGCCCAAAGTAGTGGTTGAGAGGTGACGCCAGGGAGCCATTAAGATGATGACTTTTAAGTTCTCGCAGAGTTCCCGTGGAGTTCTGGTTGAGCTCTGGCGGGGATTCCTGAAGAGTTYGCGTTGGTTGGTGATGTTCCGGTGGAGGGAGTTCCGGTTGGTGTGTGGTGTGTTCCTGGAGGAGCCGCGTGGGTGGCGTTGGGGAGAGTTCCCGGGGAGTGTGCGTGGAGTTTGGAAATAAAGTTTGTTCCTCTTGAGTGGCTCGTGATTTGTGCCCAGCCAGACTGCGGCATTTGGTGGCCCGTACGGGGAACGCCTGAAGCTCGGAGGTAAGTGAAATTGCTGGCCCTGAGGGAAGGCGAGAGAATGGGTGACCATTTCAGAAAACAATGTGTTCTTGTTTTGATTTGTTTTATATTTGTTTCAAGCTGCCTATCCCTAGAACTTTCTCAGGCAAACTGGGAAAAATGGTTGGCTCAAGGTTTGAAGATGTTCGCCCCCGAGGAAGAGATAGAAATAGACCACAAATGCACATGTCAAGAAAATAGGAAAACTGATACCACGATTTTTTGTTSCGTTTTTGTTTCATTCTGTTTCGGTTTGTTAAGTGTCATCTTGTTGGGTTGCGTTATCTTTATAGTAGATTAGAAATTAGTAAAAAACAAACCAAAATAGTGTTAAGTAAATTGTTAGAGGTTCAGACTATGGAGAAAAACATTTTAGATCAAGTAAAAGAGAAGGTCTCTTGAGCTAGTCAGACAGAGGAAGAAAATTTAAAGGAGGAAGAACTATCAGGGAAAAGTTACAATAGGAGGCTGCTACTAACACCTTTCTATCACCAGAGGGCGTAAGTGTCCAACAAATAGTGCCGCCTATAGAGACAACATATGCTATGGGGCCCCCAACCCCCGTAGTTGATAGATGGGATCCTGAGACAGCACCTCAAAGATTACCATGCCCTGTACTTGAGCAGGCAGGAGGGCAGCAATATCACCATGCTCTAG